AGCGGCGAGGCGGCCGTCGAGCGCAGGTGATCCACCATCTTGTGAGCCTCTAGGAGGTCCTCGATGCTTGGTGAACCTTCGCGGCCAGCGCGGAGGCCACCCAGGCGGCCTCGGCCAGGAACTCTCGACCCGCCCAAGTGAATTTATAAACGAGGCTGCAAAAGTCGGCCACTTCAGGTCCGCAAAAATGACTGTTGCGGCCCCCCCGCCCCCCCCGGGACATGGGGGCCTCGCGCAGCTGCCCCGTGGCGCATTTCCCCCGGCCCGCGGGAATCCTGTGGCAGGGCCCCCCCTTGGCCCACCCAAGAAAGCCCGCGCCCAATGCACTCGACCCCCCTTTTCATCGGGTTTCTCCATCTTGCCAAAATTATTACAAATTACTACGCCCACGAAACTCCGGCATGCACTCGCCTTCTTGTCCGGGGGGAAAGGCCATCGCCCAGTCGTCAACCTCGAGCAGCACCTGCGAGATCAGGCGATCGCCTCGACGCCGAGCGAATCAGCATGGCTGGCCCCAACGCACCACTGGCGGTCGAGAAACTTGGCACACGTTTCGAGACAAGGCCACAAACGCACCATCGCGCCCATAAACGGCAGCAATAAGCTCGACCAGGGCACCGGCAGGGAGGCCGAGCCCCTCGCACGGCTCAACAAAAACTCTTCCTCGAGGCCTCTCAAGGGGGTCAGGCTGGCAGAAACAATTCTTGATTTATGTATATATATATATATATATGGACCTCTGGATCGCACATGGGCGCGATGGCCGAAAAAAACATCAGCGACTCCATCGCGGGGGTCGGAGCGCAGGCCTGGGCAGCATCCTCGCCCTGGCGCCCCCTGACGCGCCACCGAGACTCGGCTGTCGGCCCGGCCCTCGCGCCGCCCCGGCGCCTCCAGGGCAAACCATCTGGCTCGAGACAGTCCGACCGGGACAGAGAGCACGCAGCTGATTGCCTTCTTCTGGAGGGTGAACCGCGACGGATTTCGCGCTTACTAGGCGCCCCCACTCCTGAAGATCAGAAGCGGCGAACTCTCGCCTTCCCCGGGCATCGAGATCCCCCCAGTGGATCTCGCCCCCCCGGTTGGCCAGGAGAGAAAGTGACACCTCGGAGGGGTGGCCGCGTTCCTGGGGGGCGATCTCAACGTCCGCGCTTCCACTGCGATAGGTCGCCTATTCCCCACTCAAGCCCCCATTCTCAACGCCCCCCCCCCCCCCCCCCCCCGAAAAACGCGCAGAGCGGGCCGCCCCCGAGCCCCGGGGGCGCCCGGAGCCCCGCGCCCTGCAGGGCAGGGTCGGTGGAGGAGGCCATCCCCCCCATAGGCTGGGCCTCGCCAGCCGCTCCTGAATTCGGCGGGCGCGATCTCGGCCGCCCGCGGACCGGCTGCCCGCCCTCTATCTGCCCTGTCTGACTTGCCCCTGGACCTTTCCGGGGAGGGGCCCTCGAAAATCCCCCATCCCAGCCCGTTGGGCCTCTGACTGGCCCCTCTCGCGCCTCAGTCGAAAACTTCATTCCGCTTGACAGCCCCGCGCATAAAACTCCGGCCATTGGACGCCCTGGTCGACGACCGCGCGTCTGGGACCTGTCCGGCGCTCGAGGGAGACGCGGGCGCCCCGTCTTCCGCCAATTGATGAGAACCCCTCGCCCCCATTTACTCCTTTCGCAGAAGCTGACGCACAACATTTCCTCTGCTGCCATGTCCCCCACAACTCTACTCCCAACTTATTTCATATGTCGTTATACAGACCCCCCCTGCACCTTCTGATGATTGTCGGTTTCGAACTGAGACAGCTGAACTGCCTCCGATGCATATGGCCAAGATAAACCTGTTGCGCGGCGCGAAGGAGAGTCCCTTTTTCGCTGTGCAGTTCCCGGCGTTGCTCATCTTTTAATCCTGAAACATGTGAACTTGCGCGGCCAATTCTTCACAAATCTCCCTGTCGTTGACAGCGCTTCTCTGTTTAGTTCTGTTGCCTTTCTAGAAAGATGAGGTGGCGATTGCTATGCTCTTGCATGTCATTGCCCAGTGGAAAGAGCAAATTGCGAGTGAACAGCCAGCAGACGCCAGTCGTAGGCAGGGACCGCTGATGTGATTCGCCTTCCCAGGGCACCTGCGCGCAGCGGGCTGTTAATAATCGTGGTCCTCCAGCCCAACCGCTTACTTTTACCGAGAGGCCTCCAGATAAGGTTCCACGGAACTCTTGGCTGCTACTCGATCTAGCACGCAAACTAGATACCAAAGGCGATCGAGAGATCGGCCTCCTGAAATTTTCACGTGGGGACATTGCCGGGACAGGGATCGGCCCTATAATTTCTTCTCGTCGAGCAAACGACCAACTTGACTGGAAACCGACATCGGCGATTCATGTTCCATGCTTATGTCGTTAAGAACTTTGGCACGCGTTGCTTCTGGCGTTTCCCTTTTCGTGCTGTCTCTCACGTGTCCTGCCACCTCAGAATTCAAGCCATCGCCTCCCATGATAGCGGAGAGGCCACGGCCCAACCTACCCCCCCCCTCCCCACTGGCTGGGCCAGTGCCGAAACACTCTTTTCCATTGGAACAGAACGATCGTCAATCAAAAAGATGGCGGGATCACAGGGGGAAGATGGCGCCTTTCGCTATCCGCCGAAATTGTTGAATGACCATGTGCGGATTCCAAGGCTACAAGCACATTGAAATCACTGTCTGTGGTAATTTGCACGTCAGATACGACAACCGAGGCTTCGGCTGATGACTCATCATTTGCCTGAGGAAAACGGTATCCGGCACCAGGCCGGGTATGATAATGAAACTCACGTATCGGTACCATCGCTCATAATAGGTAAGTAAAACATGCCTTCTGTGATCCGTTAAGCTGTAAGATAATGAATGCAAGAGTACAAGTGATGGAGGAGGAGAGACGACGACGACGACGACGACGACCCTCAGACTTTCCACTCTCGCGCCGACAGGCCCGCGGTGCCCACGCTCGGTGTCACTCGTCTCTGATGCTTACACAGCTGCGGTGGCGGCGGCAGGGAGCGAGCAGGAGGAGAGGTTGAACAAGTTTCCCCCCTTGTCGACCCAGATTTCTTTCGCAGACGAAAGCCTTCGGTGGAAACCCCATGGGGCCACGAAGCGTGTGATGGGGTGTGCCGAGATGGACATGAGATAGGCGGGGAGCCGCAAGCGAGCCCTGCCACAGGGGCCTCCAGTGGAGCTCCCTGTGGGGCCACGGAACGTGTGAGGAGTGGGCCGGAATGGGCATGCGGTGGGCGGGGAGCCGCATGTGGACCATGCCAGTGAGACCTTCGGTGGAGTCCCCGAAATGGCCACGAAATGTGCGAGGGGTGTGCCCAGATGGACGTGCAGCGGGCGGCGAGCCGTGGGCCCACGAAGCGTGTAAGGAGAGAGCCGACATCGACATGCGGTGGGCGGGGAGCAGTATGTGGACCTCGCCACTGGGACCTTCGGTGGGGTTCCCTATGGGACCACGAGACGTGTGAGGGGTGTTCCGAAATGGGCATGCAGTGGCTGGGGATCCGCAGATGGACCCTGCCACTGGGGCCATCGGTGAAACTTCCTACGGGGCCACGAAGCGTGTGAGGGGTGCGCCAAAATGGACACGCGGTGGGCGGGGAGGCACATGTACACCCTGCCACTGGGGCCTTCAGTGGAGCAGTGGAGTTCCCTATGGGGCCACGAAGCGTGTGAGGGGTGCACCGAAATTTACATGCGGTGGGCGGGGAGCCGCGTGTGGACCCTGCCACTGGGGCCTCCAGTGGAGCTGCCTATGTGGAAACACGAGACATGTGGGGGGGGAGGGCGAAATGGACATGCGATGGGCGGGGAGCCGCATGTGGACCCTGCAACTAGGGCCTTAGGTGGAGCTCCCTGTGGCCACAAAGAGCGTGAGGGATGTGCCGAACTGGTAGACTGATGTAGAGAGCAAAAGTAAGGAGGGGGAAGAGGGGGGAGGAGGAGGAGGAGGAGGAGGAAAGAAGGAAGAGGAGACGCGGGGAATGTCTCTTCAAACGAGGATGGTTGGGAAAAAGAAGCGAGCCTCTGGAGGAGCACTTAAATTGAAAAACAGAATGGGCACTGGGGGGATCATCAACAATTGGTCTTTAGAAATGGGAATTCAACAATACTGGCCACTGGCAAGATCCGTATTGGGTCCTGGATTGATGCGTAAGTTTTCTTTCTATAGACGAGCGCGTTCCTCTGCTCGCGAAGTAGCTACTCGCATAATGCCTCGATCCGCCGCGGGGGATTCACGATAGATTACACTGAGGCAGACGTGTGGTTTTTGACGTTTGCGAGTAGGCACTATGCGAGTAGCGGAACGCGCTCGGTGATTCTAAGACGACAAACTGCGTAAACATACACTTTCAGAGCGCCGCGCGGAGGTCTTGGGTCGGCGCTGGACTTCCCTCCCTGGGGTGCCAAGCACCGATCCAAGAATTCGCGCGAAGGTCCAAAAGTTTGTATTTAGAAAACATGTTACTTCTGGTTCGACGCCTGGCGTGAACCTGGATAATTCTGCACCGATCCAAGGCTTGGAGAGACCTGGTCAGAATTGGGCGTTCGTTAAAGGGGGTGCAAAAAAAACGTGGGGTAAAGAAAGCTGCACCTTTCGTACACCGTCTGGGCCCGCGGTGGCAGTCTGGGGGCCATTTAAGGCCCCTTTCGGGCCCTGTAACGTCGTTCCTGCGTCCTGGACCCGAGGCCCGTGAAGGGCCCAAAGAGACCGAAAACAACGAAAAAACCTCAGGACCCGTTTGTCTCGGGACAAATTTCCCCCATGGTGAGGTCCGCCCGACAGGGCTGGTGGTGTTACGTTTGCCAGTATCCGACCTCTGGGGCGAACTCCAGGCAGCCGGCGTTCTCGCGCACGCAGCGGCGCACGAAACCCACGTCGTCGAGCAGCCCCTGCGCAACGTGCCGGAGGGCGCCCCTGGCCTCGCGCACGGCCTCGAGCGCCAGCTCGGGATCGCCTCTGAGCTCGTCGCAGGCGTACTTCAGCGCTACGCCGTCCACCGAAGGAGAGAAAGCCGCACAAACAGAAAGCTGTCGGAGCCCCGCGCGGATCTCTTGGATCGGCGCTGGACCACCGTCCCTGGCGCGCAAAGCGCCAGGGGCTGCGCCAGGAGGCGCCGCGAAAAGGGCCCAGCGCCAATCCGAGAAACCCGCGCGCGCCAGCAGCGGCGCCGGAGGGGGGAGCCCAGCGCCGATCCAAGAAAACCGCCCGCGCCAGCAGCGGCGCCGGAGGGGAGGCCAGCGCCAAGCCAAGAGATCCACGCGGAGCTCCGAAAGCTCTCTGCGTGCGCCAGTTCTTCCTCCTGCGGGTCAACTCGGACGGCGTGCAGCACCAGCTCCCGGTCGGCGCGCAGGGCGTCGGAGGCGAACTGCAGGGCCGTGCCGCTCTCCTCCAGGGCCTCGAGGATGAGCCCCCGGTCCGCCAGCAGCTCCTCGGCGGCGCCCAGTCGGGGGCGGCGCGGGGGGGCCAGCCTCTGAGAAGCGGTGAGGCTTCTCAAGAAGCAGGGGAACCCTCTGAAAAACCTACCCGGTTTCTGAGAGGGTTCCTTGGAAGCCTCCGGGGGCTTTCGCCGGGGAACGGAAACCAGTACAAAGATACAAACCTTCGGAGATCCGCGCGGGTTCCATGTATCGGTGATGGGGCCCCCTGGCGGCGCCTCCCGCGCCGCTCCTGGCGCGCTCCGCATGCCAGGGAAGGAGGGTCCGGCGCCGATCCGAGAAGCCCAGGCGGAGCTCCAAAAGGTTACTGCGCGGCGGGAATTTATCCGCATCCACCGCCTGGGAAGCGACGTCCTGGTGCCCCAGCAGGCGGTGGATATAGAGAAATGTTGGTCCCCGGGGGCCCGATTATGCCCATGATCATCCACCGCCTGTCGATGCCCCCGAAATTGATCCTCCAGGCGGCGGTCGTGCATGAATCCCGGCCCTGGGACCCGACGGGCAAGCGACGTGCAAGGCGACTACGCAAACACTTGTTTGGTCTGCGGGTCAAGAGCGGGCCGCTTCCAGTCAAGAGCTAGGCGGGGCGCGCGAAGCACGACTTGGGGAGACAGGGCGCGGGCGGGCGGCGCCTCGGGCGGCCGGAAGGCGCGGGGCGCAGGCGGCGCCGAAGAGCTCGCACAGGAAAAGGTACGCCTTGGACAGGAGCCGGAAGCGAAATCCCAGAGGGAGAGCGGAGCGGCGTTGCCGTCAACGGCGCGTCAGAAAAAACATCCTCGAGTGCTGCGTGGGGAGGGACGTGACCAGGTCGACGCCCGAGGGGTAGAGGAAGACCAGGCAGGCGAAGTGCAACAGGCGCCACCACCTGGTAAGGAGAGGCTCAGGAGATGAGGAGGACCACGAAGACGATGTGCAACGTTGTGCCATCGGGTGGTCGGTAGCGGCCTGGGGTGGTAGTCCAATCCACGTCCAGGTAGCAGCCAAGAGGTGCGGCCATAAGGGCCGTCTGTGTCCGCCTGCCGCGGGCCGGGCCTGAGCCGCGCTGCCCAGGGTGAACGAGGCCGCCGAGGCGGCAAGGTGCAGTGCCAGCACCAGGCCGGGGCCGCGCTGTGCCGGGCGCCGCCGCCATGGGAGGGGGGGAAAAGCGAGCGGGGAGGGAAGAAGCGAACAGGGAGGAGAGAGGCCGGCGTCCCACGCCAGCCGAAGCCCCGCCAGCATGCACCGAAGTGCTCACGTGGGGGCAAGCCCCAATGCGTACAGGTAAGACCCGAGGCCCCAACGCGGGCGTGTCACGCACGTCGCTGGCGCACCTATGCGTCGCAGGTGGGTACAGGGAGGACACAGAGTTCCAGATCCTTGAACCTCATTCAGCCCATGGGTACAGGGGGGACACAGAATCCCAGATCCTCGAATCACAATCAGCCGATGGGTACAGGTAGGACACAGAGCCCCAGATCCTTTGGAAACAGCCGATGGGTACAGGGGGGACACAGACTACGCAAACACACAGCACCGACGGAAAAAAGTGGCGTCCCACGCCGGGTCATTCGCCAGCGTGGCAGTGCAGGACGCCGCGGCTCTTATTCGGACACAGGGACGGCCGACAAAGAAACGCGGGCCGGGCAAAAGGCCAAAACGGGCGCCCGCCTCGGATTTATGCTTCCGCCGCTCTGCTCTTCTCCCAGTACAAGAGGGCCCCTGCCTGCCAGCCAAGACCCCTCCACCTTCGTGGGAGGCGGCCCCCCCCGCCCCCCGGGGGGGGGGGCCGCTCGGCCAGCGAGGCAACGGGCCAAGCCTGTGGGGGCGAATCGGCGGCGAGCTAGGGGGGGGGGGAGGGGCAAGCGAGAGGGAGAAAGCCTCCTCAGAAGGCCGGCGGGACTTCCCTGCAGCCCCTGCGCTTTCTGGGAGCCCTCAAATGGAATCCTATCAGGGCTGCGTCCAGCTCTAATAGAATCCTACTAGGGCTGCGTCCAGCTCTTATAGAATCATAGTAGAGCTGCGTCCAGCTCGAATGGAATCCTACTAGAGCTGCGTCCAGCCGGCGAGGCACAACCGCCTTCGCATCGTGACTCGAGCATGCCATCTCGGTGCTATGTGCTTCCTTGCTGGGACTTCCCCGCTCGTACGGCCTCCTCTCCTCCCTGTCCTCCTCGTCCTCCTCGCTCTTCCTTCCAGCCAGGTTTCACGATTTTAGCGCTCATGCGAGTCGTGCTTTCACACGGATGTAGTGCCGCTCCTTCACAGCCTGGGGTTTCCGGCAAAGAGCCGGTGGCCCGAATTTCGGCTACGCTTGCAGGACAGCTTCTGGCCGCTACTGCGGTGGCCTCTGGTCTTTTCGGCGCGTGGTTGGCGCGCCGGGGCCTCCTCGTTTGGAGTTGGCTGCGGTCTTGACGACGCCAGGCCCCTTCCTCACGCACGCACGCACGCGAAGCCAAGCATCCACAGGGACGCGCAGGCAGAGACGAGGTGCTCGGTGGCAACTCTCCTCTTGAAGTTTTCCTCGTCTATGGGACAGGCTTAGAACACTTCTCAGAAGGCCAGAGGACTTCCGAGCCTTCTGAAAAAGCCCGCCCCTCCTCACTTCCCTCCCGGGCTCGCCGCCGAATGAAGTAGAAAGGCGTTGAAGATAGGCTGCACCTCCGCCCACCCCCTGCAGAGGAGAAAGGAGGGAAAGCCGCTCGAGCGCTGAAGCAGGAAAGCGCCTAAAACATGTTCGAAGTAGGAACACCTGGAGTAGGATCGCTGAAGCAGAATCGCTGAAGTAGGAAACCCGCTCGATCGCTAAAGTAGGATTCCGCCGTGGGCGCCGCCCCGCCGCCCGCGCCCCGCCGTGGGCGCCCCGCCGCGGGCGCCCCGCCGCGGGCGCCCCGCCGCGGGCGCCCCCGAGCTCCTCCGCCGCCAGGCCGAGCGCCTGCACGTCCGCCCGGGCCGCCTCCAGCACCAGGGCGCGGTCCGCGCGCAGCGCCGCGGGCGCCAGCTCCAGGGCCTTCCCAGAAGGCTTAGGTCGGGCGTGTCCCCCTACAGGCGGATTTTTTGGCAGAACAAATAAAAATAGTCGCAAAAATGTACCAACAATGATCGAACAATACTTTAAAAAAATGGCATGGTCCCCCGATTCACTATTTTTGAATATTCCCCGTGTAGAGGGACAGGCCCGACTTAACAGAAGGCTCAAGGGCTTCAGAGAAGTCTCGCTTCCCCCCCCCCAGCTCGCCGCCGACCCGCCCCCACGGGCGTGGCCTGGGCCCCGCTGGCCGAGTTACCCATCCCTGGATGGGGACATGGCCTGTTCGCTGCGAGCTTCGAGAGGCACGTCCCCGACTGGGACGGTGGCATGGTAGGGACCAGGATGGGGATGGGGACAAGGACCCGTTCACCGGTACTGACCTTCCAATCCCGCCGGACGGCCTCGAGGACCAGCTCCCGGTCGCCCCGCAGCTCCTCTCGGGGAGACGGAAGACTCGGGTTCGGGCCTGACGAGGCCATCATGACAATAACGAGGCCCCGTCTGAAACTTGACGCGAGCTCCCGCTGCAGACATCCCACGAAAACCGGGCCGTCGTGACCCAGGACGCGCTCGTCAAGAAGCCTCGGCAAACCCGAGTTCCGGCGCACTCGAGTCTTACAGTCAAAACTGATAATAAGGATGCGCGATAAGGATGCAAGCCCCTTGGACGCCCGTGTTGAAGTTTTTTCGAGCAGGGCGGGCCATCGAATGTACTCAAAGATGGACCAAACAGGCATGGAAGCAAGGGTGCCCTTGGGGAGGCCACCCATCCTTACCACCGATTTCGACTGCACGTTTCCACCATCGTCTGGAGGCAGAATAGAAGGACCTGAGCGTAAACCTTCGGAGCTCCGCGCGGACCTGGGCTCGGCGCCGGAAGCGCCAGCTCCACGAAATCATCCGCGCGGAGCTCCGGGAGGTTCCAGCCAGAGCGCGCATAGCAAGGAGGAGCAACTTCCCAAGGTTACCCTTGCATCCTTGCCCTTTCGGCCCATCCAATCGAACGCCGTCAACATGGCCTCCCAAGGCCCTTGCGTCCTCACCGCGCATCCTCATGATGCGTTTTGACTGTATGCTCATGCCGTTGTCTGTTCCTCGGTCCTCGCCGCTCAGCCCCAGCGCCTTCCAGTCCTGGCGCAGCGCCTCCCATAGAGGGGACAAAAAAGGGAGCCACATGACCAAGACTGAGCGCGGAGACGTCGGTGTCAATATTGGTCACCGTCCATCCTCCTCCTCCTCCTCCTCCTCCTACTCCTCCTCCTCCTCCTCCTGCTCCTCCTCCTCCTCCTTCTCCTCCTCCCCCGCTGCCCCCTCCCCCTCCTCCCCCTCCCCCTCCTCTCCCTCTCCTCCTCCTCCTCCCCCTCCCCCATCCCACTCTTCTGCTCCCCCCGGGGAACCTGAGAGCACCGTCCATCTTGGTCACCGTCCATACTGGTGAGAGTCAACTCGTGGATCATATCCTCGCGAATCGACGGCGGCTGGTATGGACCGTGACCAAGACCGACGTCGGCACCATCCACTCACCATCCACTGAATTGTTGTTTTACGGTCCTGGGGCCCAGCGAGGACCCCAGAACGCCGAACAGATCGACAACACGAAAACAAAAACACAGAAACCTAAACCACAGCAGCAACAACAACAACAGCAACAGAAACAGAAACAGCAACAGCAACAACAACAACAGCATCGACCAACGACAACGACAACAGCATTAGTAACAGCAACAACGGCAGCATTAAGGTAACTTAAAACTATTCGCTCGTATCTGCTCGCGGATCATTCGACGTGCATTTAGCGCGGCCAGTAAGGCAGGGGAGAAAGGAGGAGGGAGAGAAGGGAGAAGGAGGAGGGAGAAGGATTGAACACGAGAGAGAATAGCAGGAGTGGGGCAAGGAAAAGAAATTAAAGGAAGAACAAGACGGGCGGATCGGGCGGGTAAACCCTAACGGGCGGGTCGGGAAGGCGTTGCTGACACACCGCGATTCCCGAGTAGATCTTGAGAGAGGCCAGAGCGGGAACGCGATTTCGGAATGTCGAGGGCGCGCCGCCCGAACAGATTCCGAGGAAGACCGCTCGAGAGTGCGATTATTCTATACATTGTGAGGAAGTCCAGCGCCAGCGCCAGAGTTTGAATAAAATGCGCAGCAGCAACAACAACAACAACAACAGCAGCAGCAACAGCAGCAACAACAGAAAATCAAAAGCAAAGCAACAACAACCGCAACAACAACAACAACAACAACAACAACAACAACAACAATCATTTAAGACTGGGGACACTCCGTTCTCACCAGTGCCAGGGTTTTCATAGGAGGCGGGCAATACCCCCACTTTGTGGGGGGGCCGGTTCAAGCTCTACCAAATTTCCAAACGACTCTTCGCCACCACCCACACCCAGCTTCCCGCCCTATGACGTTCGGACACTTCACTTCGTGGCATGCGGACGACCGTGGCTACTATTCAGGGCCCCGCGGCCGACGACGACGGCGTGCGCGCGCGAAGAAAAAACGAATGTGTCCAATATGGTATTATTTGACAGGGATGATGGCCCTGGCATGCGCGCAACCGTTGTTGCAGAAGTTCGAAGCACGTGAAAAAGTTGCTCGCAAGAGCCCGTTTGACAGAAATGTTGAAAAAATAGTGGGTTTCCTCAGAAATCCGCAAGAGCGCGCGGGATGAATTTTGAAACTTTTTTTTTGAAAAACCATTGGGTTTTTCATGTTTTTATGTTAAAATCGTTACGAAAACTAAGGTTTTGGAAGGATTTCATCTTGCGCGCGCGAGTGTGCACTTCGTGTCATTTTCTTCAAAGGATTCTTGAAGTTTGGTTATGTTAGAACAAGAAATTTCATTTTATAGTGTTTTTTGCAAGGGAAAGCGGGCGTCAACAAAACAACCGGATCTGGATGACATCGTTTTACCTGAGACTTCCTCACGAAAATTATGAAAATGTGGCTGCGGCCTAGGCGCGGGGAAGGGGGCGTGCACCAGGGGGCCCAACAATAATTATTCTTTAGAATTAATAATGTTCAACAACAACAACAATAACAACATTCATTGTAAGACTGTTCGCTCCGATCTGCCCGCGTGCCACTCAACGAATACATCCCAAACCATCCGTACCAGCCCTCTTCGTCAACGATCGTACACCCATGGGGATACATTTCGCGCGGACCCCAAGGCAGGGAAAGAGAGGATGGATGGAAGGAAAAGACAGTGGGGAGGGAGGAGGATGGAGCACGAGAGAGATTAGCAGGACGGGGGCTGGGAGCAGAAAACACGTGGCAGAACCAGACGGGCAGATCAGGCAAGACCCTAACGGGCAAGCCCGGAAGGCGGGCCAAGGCGGCCAGGTCAAGCAGGCGGGTTGCTGAAGCGTGAGTCCTGCATGAATCGCAAAGAAGTCTCGAATGACAGCGCGATCCCCAAGTGAATCGTGAGAAAATCCTGGGCGAGAGCGTGACCCCTGAGTGTGAAGGGGGGGCGTCTGAATGAAGTGCGAAGACGTCCCACGCGAAGGGCCAATTCCTGCATGAAGTAAGTCCCGCCCGATAGTACGATTCTGGAATGGACGGTGGGGAAGTATGAAGAGGAAGTCGTCATTGTTGTGGTTCGAATCCAAACAAAGCACTTTGAGCAGGAAGACTTTCCCTGAATAAAAAACAGGGTTCGGGCCCCGAGGTCATTTTCCAACTGAAAAAACATACTGTGCACCGGTGGGGCGGGATCAACAGCAATTATTCCTCAGAAGTGAGAGTTCAACAACAACAACAACAACAACAACAGCAGCAGCAGCAGAAGCAACAACACCAGTCATTGTAAGACTGTTCGCTCGTATCTGTTCGCGGGCCACTTAGCATGCACATCCCGGGCCCAAGATACCCGCCCTCTTTTTCGTCTTCGATCGTACCCCATTGGGGGTAGAAGGCGGCAAGGTCGAGCGGGCGGTTGGCTGAAGCCTGCGTCCTGCATGAATCGCGTGGAAGTGTCGAGCGACAGCGCGATTCTCAAATAAATCATGATGACATCCTACGC